AAAATTAGTCGGGAGTGGAAAAAAAAAAAAGAAAAGAAAAAGGCCAATAGTTTCGAACCAACCATAAATTCAGTGCCTTGCGAGCTACCATGCAAAGGAGAAACAACATCAAAACCACCCTTTCTCTCGTAAAGAAACCGGACACCACATATGATTTCGATGCCCTTATCGACACATAAGTGAACGTAGACTTCCTTGACTTTGAAGAAGATTCCATCATCCCACCGTCTACCTCCATCCATATTGCCCCGAGCTCCGCGGAGTCGTGGCAAAGGAATTGGGAATTCAATGTCTTCCAATTCCTTCTTCACTGCCACCTTATTGGATTCCGAATCCTTCTTCATGGACACCTTCCTAAGGTAGACGCCAATGGCGTTCATGTAGGAGTCTGCCCGGCCATGAAAGCCTATTATGACTCCATTCTCGGCATGGAAGCTAAACGGCGTGCCGACTTGTTTTCCAAAAGGTCCGTATTTGCAACGATTCGTGACTATTTCAAGGGATGCCACCACATTTTCATGGCCATAATGCCCCACGGTCCCACTTATGCCCGTCAAAAACTCGTTCGGATAATCTATATCAATCTGTAACGGCCGTTCGTATTAATAGGTTCAAAATTTATGTATCCATAAAAGTCAATTGATAAAAAAACATAATTATAAACCTAAATTTAACATCAACAGTATAAGTATACAATATTTTAGCTCATCGACTATAACGTGTCGACGTACATGACTAAATGTTAGACCGGCTCACCCGAAAAATTTGTACCAATTAAAAGCTCGATCGGTTATAAAACCATTGTTAATATTTCACATTATTCGCACTTACGAATTTGGTTTTGTCACCACCCTTTCCTCCAAACATTTTGGTGGTAGCCTCGGCATGACCTTTGAACATGATGGAGTCTATAACGCCGCCATGACGAATAATAATTTTACTTATTCCAGATTCAGCCCTCCAATTCCAAGGCTTTCCAATTTGACCCCCCCATGACCGTACCGATATGTCGGCACCTGAGCTCCCGTCATTTTCCTGCACAGTACATAAATATATGTTATAACTATTTTTATAAGAATAAGAAAAATCAACACAGTTGATAAAGAAGGTAGGAAATGAGGACCATCTTAAAAATAATTGCAGTCAGTTTGGGACTCAATAATCAATATGTTATGATATGATGCTGTAAATAAATTAAAATGCATGCAATATTATTGCATTGTATATATTGGTGCTATAATAAATAACTCATGGAGACTTTCGATATTCAAGAGTCTTTGTAGGCTTTGTAACTATCAACGGCCTCTTGACTTTCCCAAAATCCTATAATTAAATTCTTCGATTCGCTCGAAGAGTTGAGGTGATGTTGGAATCTGAATGGACATAAAATAATATGGAGATTTTACGGTCCCGTTATGAAACTATTCCGTCAGGATTTGTAATCGCTAGATCAACTATCCACGAAGGTTATATGATGATTTAACGGTTATAAATCTCGACGGAATAGTTCTGTAACGAGACTGCAGCATTTCTCAATATCCAGTTTGCTATGGAGTCATCGGATAACTCGACTTATGGAGTCATCCACAGTTATTCACAAATAGTGTATTGACACGTGTTCTATAATAAATTCACTTTGAAAATGTCTCAATGTATTAAGTGATGAATGATCCCGTAAAAAAACCATTAGATGACTCTATAGTAAAACCATAATAAATGCACAATTATAATTTGTATATGTGGATTTATTCATTTATTAATAAAGTAAAAGAATATATTAGAAAAAAGAACACTAATTCCTATAATTATATGCATGATGTTATTTTTTTGTTGATTCGATAAAATTATTTTAATTTATATCGCCGAATTTATGCAATAATAATTTCTCTCTATATCATCCTATTACCTATCAATAGTACTACCGTGTGCCCTGGCACACCTTTGCACGCGCCCCTCACCCCCTAAAACTGGAAAATCAAGAGAGTGTAGTGCACATTTATATTTTTCTTTTTTTAATTGAAAAATGAGACATATTACATAAATTAAAATATCATTAGTTATTTATATTAAAAAAATAAAATAAAAATACCAAAATTCATAATTTTTCATTATCTATAAATAGAGACCACATTTGATAGGTTT